GTTCCCCTATATTGCTCCAATGCATGCTTGAAAATAGAAGCAACCAGCTGAGATCGCGTGCTTCCCGCACTTCCTGAGATTAGAGTCTGCAGCAAAGCTGCTTTTTGTGAGCCTTCACTAGTCAACACCTCATCAAGTAGTCGACTCTGGAAAAACAACCGTATTCAACGTTGAAAAACAAAATAACGAATACCTGAAGTTCTGATCTGATCAGGCTGCGATTTGATAGTGAAATATATGCATTCTGTAGATATCCTATGATATCTGCATTAGAAAGATTCTGAGCCTGAAATGAATGATGCCATAGTCTATCTTCCTTTCGAATCAGCCAACTCCTCACCTTTCTGAAAACATTAGAGATGCTGTCGTTACAGTGGGAGAGATCTCTAACACTGGAGATCATACGGAAGAGAAATTCGATTCTCTTGGTTATCTGTGGTATTAGTTACAAAATGAATTTCCTTTAGGCGAGAAACCAGACATACCTCGACGATTTCGGACACAATCTGGGACTGTACAGCTGACTGCTGATCAAGCATTGCCGGAACTTGTTCAAGAATGCTCTCAAGCCAGTTTCCAGCGACAGATTCATCATTTAGCGCTAGAAATACAGCGATACATTCAGTGAACCTTTCAAAATAGATCTTACATTCTTCAGGAGACGCAATCGGAACAGCTTTTGCACCAGTGGTCGCTTCTTTAGCTCTGTTCTCCATCTGCTCAGCCAACATGCTCAAAAGTTCGTCTATTGCATTCCATAACGAAGCGGAAAGTCTGCTGTATCTGGCTAGGGTAAAATCCATCCAAACAGAAAGCGCTTCTAAGGACTTCACAATCCGCATTAGGTGATTACGATCTCGCGATGCCTTGCAAAGATGAATAATAATATGAAAATCGACGCGTTGCGCATCGATACATACCTTTCCTAAAAGCTTGGCGACTGAATTAAATACGTGACCCATAGTCGACGGACTAGAAGACAAAGAAAGAGCGAAAGACCGAACCACATTTTCGAGAAGAGAACAGCTCAAGTCTAGGTCGAGAGCAGAAGTAGTAAGAGCACTATAAACGAACAATCAAAAAAGACGCTCTTCAAGAACTTTCAACTAACCTGCTGACGCAAGCAAGAGCAGCAGCCGTGAATGGAACTGGAAGATGCGGACAGTAGGAGTCAATAGTGACCCAGTCAGTTTGCAATATTGTCTTGACCTTATCTGCGTTTCGGAGAATTATCGA